CAAGTGACTGTTTAGGAACTTATTTTAGTATATTGAAGATAGATAGATAGAATCTCCATGCATATATATGAACAGATCTTATAACAATCCAAAATCACAGCCGATCTCATATATATCAACTTTAGTGGTAGTTCTATTGTCACATTTTCTCTTTGTGATATGGTCCATACGGATTGATATTGATTTAGGCTCCTTCTAATATAGAATAACTATAAAGAGTTCATTTCTCTGTGATAAGTCTTTATTTATATTTATTAAGGAGCATGGTTCATTAATTAACTTTGTGTAAAAAAGAGAAACAAGTAGAATTTAAAAACATTGCAGCCACATTTAATTTGGAACAAACCTAACTTCAATCAGATGTTTTTTTTGGAAGTGCTGCTACGGGGACCCAAAATATGAGACCAAGTGAGGGGACATGTAAGGTGTCCCCTCCCTATTGCATAATGAGTTGGGCATGCCAACTCATTATGCAATAGGGAGGGGACACCTCACATGTCCCCTCCATTGGTCCCATATTTTGGGTCCTTAAGTCATTTTCCTTTTTTTGGCAAGCAGCACTTCCTTGATCATCCTCTCAAAGTTCACCGAAGAACTTCCATCCGTCTCGGCTGCCTTCACTCCTTTCTCTTTCAACTCCATTACCCTCCTCCTCAGCTCCTTCCCCTTCTCACCCCCCATCAACTCCCTTATCAACCCCTCAACCTCCTTTCTTTTCACGTCACCATCAATCTCCATCCCGATATCCCACTCGGCACAAACATATCGGCAATTTGTCTGTTGTTCGGCAAAGAACGGCCAACATATCATTGGCACGCCAGCGCAAATGCTCTCTAGCGTCGAATTCCATCCACTATGCGTCAAGAATCCTCCAATCGCAGGGTGCGATAGCACCGCCTCCTGGTCACACCAATTCACTAATAGGCTCCGGCCGTTCGTCTCGACCAAGAAATCTCGAGGCAAAACAGCATCCTCACCCTTAACTAAGTCGGGCCGGATCACCCACAAGAAATCATACCCGCTTTTTGCCAATCCCCAAGCGAATTCTACCAGCTGTTCAGTAGACATGACGGTTATACTCCCAAAATTGACGTACACAATGGATCCAGGCCTTTTGCTGTCAAGCCAACCGGTGCAAGTAGTGTCTTGCTTCCAAAGGCTGGAGGTTAAGGATCTGACAGGGCTATTGGCTGGCAATTGGTTAGCTAGTAGGAAGAGAGGACCAATTGTGTAGACTGGAGGGAGGATTGATGCCATTTCCTCGAGAACCGGGCGTTCTAGCTCGTCGAAAGTGTTGAGGAGGATTGCGGTGGCTCTCGACGCCCTGGTAGTTTCGCGGACCACGAATCTCAGCATCACGTCGTCCGGGTCAGTTGTCCTGATGAAGCTCGGGAAATCCTTGAGGCGAAGTTTGTTCATCCCCGGGATGCAATCGACGGGAGTGTCGAGATATCCGTTGGTCACATCTGCCATGTCTGCGCACACAGCAAACCGTGTAAATAGTCAGCACATGTTATCTCCTAAGATTACTTACCAGATATCTACAATCAATGTTTAAATAACAAATATGTATTGAAGTACTATTGTGGTATCGAAGTAGTGGAGTACAAAACTTAGAGTCGGGAGTACCCCTGAGAGGTGCGAGGCCCCTAGCCACAAGTTCACGATAGTGGAGATACGCCATAAAACCACAGGCGCTGGTAGTCCAAAACAAGACCTCAGGCACGCCGAGCTCTTCAGCAGCATCAAGAGTGAAGCTCATAACGCCATCTGATACTATACAAGACACGGGCGGGGAATCACTGTTCAGCTTCCTCAACAACTGCCGAAAAGGTTCGAGGCAATTTCTAGTTGTTGAATCGCAAAGCGCGGGAATGTCTTGAGTGGCCTCGACGTCCGATGGGGGTAAGCCGTCGGGGATGGTCTCGAACCGGAAGCCGTCGACGCCCTTGACAACGCCCGGGCCCCACGACCGGACTAGGCGACGGTGGTTGTACTCGGTGTTGACGAAGGTTACGTGGAAGCCTTTGGCGTGGAGGAGCTTGCCCAGCCTTAGCATAGGATTTATGTGGCCTTGGGCTGGATAAGGGACTAAAACAGCATGGGGCTTCTCTATGGTAATGGAACCCATTTTAGTTTTAGTTTTCTTTTCCCCCACCCCCCTCCCCTTGTGTTTCTTTGGGTTTTTGTTTGTGAGGTCTCAAAAGAGCGACGGAGTTGGAGTTGCTTATATAAAGAAGAGCTTTGCTACAGGGACCCAAAATATGGGATCAATAAAGGGGACAAGTGAGGTGTCCCCATCCTATTTGATAATGAGTTGGCTATCATTAATGATGACCAACTCATTATCCAATAGGAGGGGGACTCCTCACTTGTCCCCCTTTGGTCCCATATTTTGGATCCTTAAAAAATTTTTCTATAAAGAAATGGAAGGAGAAATGAAGAGGCCAATTAGATGCCTCAACTTTGATTGGGTTGCGTGATGAAGCAATGCAGCGGATCAAGTTGATGACATTTTTAATTATTTTTTTGGGGATTAGGCCAATAAAGCTGGAATAATTTGTCGACGGAGCGATGTGAACGGCTGCTGTTATACATGGCTTTTTTTTTAAGTTTTGTTTACAAGGAGAAAAGGCCAATTAGATGTCTCAAACTTTGATTAGGTTGCGTGATAAAGAAATGCAGCCGATCAAGTTGATGACATTTTTAATTATTTTCTTGGGGATTAGGCCAATAAAGCTGGAACTACTCCTCGATGTGAACGGCCGCTGTTATACATGGCTTTTTTAAAAGTTTTGTTGACGACTGTTTTTAGCTCAGCAACAAAATTTATTTTGGTTCGGTGGAAGATAAGACACGTGGGTACCGCAAATACTGTGATGTGCTTCAGCTCTAAGATATAATATCAGATTTGGCAAGTTGTAAATATAATATTTATTTATATACGTGACTGGCTGGCTAATTTATAGTAACATAAGATTTCAGTTTGGAACTTGATTTGCCTCCACATGCATCCAATCTAAAACGTCATGTACCGGTTGTCAAGTACAAGTTTTCATCAAACTGGGTTAATAATTCTCTCGATCCCTTTGATCCTTGCTTCTCGCCTAAACTGACGTGGACGATGTCATCAACTATCTTTTCTAGTTTAAGGGTGTGTTTGACAAATCTAAAATAAGAGTGACTTTGAATTATTTTTGCTTAACTAGAATAGAGTTGGATCACGTAGGAAGTGATTTGAAAAAAGAGTTAGTTTAGAGGCTAAAATTTAAACTATAGAAAACTAGTTCAATTGTGGAGTTGCTAAGTGCTTCTCCAACCGTCCCCTATAACTGCATTTTGCAGTCCATCTCAAATCCAACCGAGCGGCATATTATAGAGGTGAGCTGCAAAATTGGATTTGAGGCTGCAAATTTGGAGATTTCTCTCCAAATTTGTAGCCAACTCTATATTACTATTTCAAAAAAAAAAAAGACAATGTTAACCATCAATCTCCTTAACAACATTTAATTATTCCAATTGTGTCCCCTTTTAGAAATGATAATACATTGAAAATTAAACGGAAATAAAATACATTAACTTAGAATTACATCGAAACTTTGATAAAAAAAGTTACATCACTTCATTGCCGTGTCTCTCCCACAAATGTTCAATTAATGCATTCCGAAGTGCGAAATGTGCTTCTTTGTCTTTGAATTTCTTATGCCGGGCCAGGAATTGTCGAAACCGTTCGACATCGTTCATCCCTATGTCTTCAACATTTGAAATTGATGGTGGAGTAGAAACGACAATACAACATTTGAAATTGATGGTGGAGTAGAAACGACAATATCTTCTTGCTCATCACGTTCATCCTCAATAATCATGTTGTGCATTATTATGCAAGTGGTCATGATATCATGCAAAGTTTGTTTATCCCAAAAACGTGCAGGGCCTTTGATTATACCAAATCTTGACTGGAGAACACCAAACGCTCGCTCCACATCTTTTCGACAAGCTTCTTGCATCATTGCAAAATATTGTTTCTTTTTATCTTTAGATTTGGAAATGTTTTGAACAAGCGTTGGCCATTTCGGATATATGCCATCGACTAAATAATAACCAAAATCATAATTCTTTCCTTGAATTGTATACTGAGCAGGAGAAGTAATACATTGTGTTAGGTTATCAAACAAATTAGATGCTTGTAATACATTAATATTGTTATTAGAACCTGGCAAGCCAAAGAATGCATGCCATATCCATAGGTCATACAATGCTACTGCCTCAAGAATAATGGTTGTGCCTCCGTGACGTTCTGAGTATTGTCCTGCCCACGCTGTTAGACAGTTTTTTCCATTCCTAATGCATCCAGTCTAGACTTCCCAACATTCCTAGGAAACCTCGCTCTTCGCCTTTTTGTAACAGTCTTGTAACATCGTCAGTATTGGGGGATCTAAGATATTCATCTCCATACACTTCTATAATTACTCTGCAAAATCTCTTCAAACATTCAATTACAGTTGACTCACCAATCCTTACATATTCGTCAGTACTATCTGCCGGTGCACCATACGCCAATATGCGAAATGCTGTTGTTACTTTTGTAAAGTAGACAGTCCAAGCCGGCCGACACCATCCACCTTTTGTACGAAATAGTTGTCGTGCTCTCGTACAACGTCGACGATACGAAGGAAAAGACTCCTTTGCATTCAGAATCTTCTACGGAATAAATTTGCACTGTATGTGGGATTATCAGAAAAATAGTCATTGTAGTGTCGAGAATTACCTTCTTCCCTTCCACGGTTGATTACCAAATGACCAGGAATTGAGCCAATATGCTTTGGCCTCTCTTCCTTTTTAGAGAAATAAGCCATTATTTTATTGTTAGAGGCATATAGACGAGCTAAGGTTTCATCCTTCTCCTCCCATTATTTCATATCCTCCTCCCATTGTTTAACATAATGAGAAAATGTTTCGTCATCATTAGAAGAAGAAGAAGGTAGGTGTGATGGTCCAGCTTCATAGTTCATTGTTGAAGAGGGGATTTGAAGAAATAAAATATAGATTGGTGATGAGTTGTTAATAGGTGTATGTTGTGTTATTATATAATGTTTCTACCCACATTGGATTCTTCCACCCACATCATTTTTTACCCACATTGGATTCTTTCCTGCATCATTTTCTACCCACATTGGATTCTCCCACTGGCGTTGGTTTTCTACACACATTGGATTCTTTCCCGCATCGTTTTCTATCCACATTGGATTCTCCCACCCGTATTGTTTTCTACCCACATTGGATTCTCCCACTGGTGTTGGTTTTCTACCCACATTAGATTCTTTCTCGCATCGTTTTCTACCCACATTGGATTCTACCACCCGCACCATTTTCTATCCACATTGGATTCTCCCATTAGCATTGGATTCTCCATAATTTTTTCACTATAAATACTAGCACAACCCTCATTCCTCCATCACAACTCTTCTCATTCCTCCTTCATAACTCTTCTCAACAACTCTTCGTCCTTCTCTTATGGCATCCAGTCACGGAAAATCATTCTTACAAGAAGAAGCTCTTCTCAACAACTCTTCGTCCTTCTCTTATGGCATCCAGTCACGGAAAATCATTCTTACAAGAAGAAGATCAAATTTTATGCGCTACATGGCTTGAAATATCTCAGGATCTAGTTTTAGGTTCCAATCAAAAGAAAGACAAGCTATGAGAGTGAATTTCAGCTCTATTTCACGAAAGGATTTCCAACATTTGCACCGGACATAGGAGTCCGAAGTCTCTCTCATGCTGAATGCAATTAATTATGAAAGCCATTAGTAAATTTAGAGGATGCATTCGACAAGTCGAGCGCCTCAATCCAAGCGGTGCTTCTGAACTTGATATTGTTAGTATATGAATTACATGTTTCTTGGTTATTAAATTATTTTCCACCTTTTCTAATAATTATTTCTTCTTTTGTGGTAGAATAAACGTGCTAGGATCATATTTGTAGAAGATCCAGAAGAGAAAAGAGGATTTCTATTTGATCATGTTTGGCCGATTTTGAAGAATGCAGAGAAGTAGGCAAATATAAGCATCATGCCTTCTGCATCTTCCAAAACTTCAAAATCTCGCTTATCTTAAGGATCTGATTCAAGCTCTCCTGTCATTGACTTAAATAAAGACAATCAGGCATATACTCCTAATGACGATGACCATTCGCCAATCGACATTTCAACTAGTCGACCTATTAGAAGGAAGAAAAAAAAAGTTGCGAAGACGGAAAGAAATTGAAAGGAACCTTAACTTTGAAGCTTTTGCTAAAGGAAACCAATAAATCTTAGAAGTTTTAAAAAGAGGTCAAGAACAACGAGAAAATGAAAGAATGATAATGAACCAGACTATGATGTTAAAGGCTAAAAATGATAAGAAAACGTTAGATCTTCAGCAAGAATGACAAGAGAAAGAAATTATGCTAGTTGATCTGGAAGCTATTACCAATCCAACAAAACACGAATATTTTGGAATTAAACAACAAAAACTTTTAAATAGAAATATAACTAGGGGTTCCTCATCTGATACTCCTAATCCTGAATATAGCTACGCAGAAAGTCAATATGGAATACCTGACTACAGAGGAGGTGGATACAGAGGAGTTGACTTCCCATACTTTTAGTAATTTTTATGTATTATGTTTTTCCTATTTGTCATGTAATTTTCAATTCATGCTTTTGTTTTCTATGTAATAGTCGTGGATTTAGTAATATCAATGTCTATTTATTTTAATCTGAAAGAATGCCCATTTTATATTAATACATTTAATAATATTATTAATAATATTATTTATATTATATAACTTCTATTTTTTATTATTTTTATATATTCAAAATAAGACTAATATTAAATAATATTAATTGAAATATAAAATTCCAAGAACCAAGTAGTTAAAAATGAAAATGTATTATAATTTAAAGATAATTATCTATTTCTTATTATCAATTCATTAAAGATAAGTAATTTTATTTAAATATATGATCATATTATATATTATTATTTTATATATTTTTAAAATAAGTAAAAGAATTGTTAAATTGAGAAAAATTAAAATTGAGTTGGAAATAGAGGAGTGTGGTTAGAGTTACATAACTCTATTTTGGCATATTCTAAGGAATATGCCAAAGTGAGGACGGCAAAATGCAGTCCCCGATTGGAGAAGCTCTAAACACACCTTAAAAGGCAAAACTTTAGATTTGCTATTCATGCTACGGTAACTTGCTATTTATTTTATAGCCTCCCTATTTATGCTATCATATGCTTCATAATATTAAACCCTCTCTTCAAGCGAATTTTGAATCTTAGATAATATCCATATATTTTTTGAAACTTAATAACACTGTTTATGCTATAGTGAAATTTTTGTTCCTTTGTCAATTTTTGTTCCTTTCTCACGTGTACAAGCTAAAGTAAAATGATTTTGAACCTTTAAACCACTATTCATATCTATTTCTTTCTGTTCTTGCATATGATAATTTGAACCTTTATCACATTTCACATACATAATCTTCTCTGGCTCTATTAAAAAATTAATAAAATTTGCTAACTGGTATATCAGTTTGTTAACTGGTTTGGAGATACACTCTACATATATAGTGGTAAAAAAATTGGTCACTAAAATTTTTATAAATAGTTACATACAAAGACATGTTATCAACGTAAGACACGAGCCTAATACTAATACAAGGCAATTTTATGATTACAACAATCTATAAGTTTTTTTGACAAGGACTTCTATGATTACAACAATTTTATGATTACAACAATAAAAATTATCCTTTACTATTTTAAATATTTAATTTAAATTATAATCTATCATAATCATAGTTATATTCTATCCTAATACCCCATGAACTATCTATAGCTCAATAATTTAAATAAGATTAATAAAATACATAAAACAACACCGTGGTATCAGTTTATTACATGAAGTATTACAAAAAAGTAAAAAGTTTTAAAAATTAGACAAAATACTCTCAAAATTTTAAAATTACACAAAATAAAAACCTAAAATTTCAAAACTTAGCAAAAAAAAAGTAATTGTTTGATATTCTTTCATTAAGATATATAAATGTAACTTATAATTTAAGGTTTACTATCCCTTTTCAAAATCTAAAAATAGTCAAGTTGATATTGGTAAAAAAATAGTAATAATAATAGATTAAAATATCCAGTTAAAGAATAAAAATTTAAAAAATATATGATAGACTAAAAATAAATATTATTGTATAAATTAAAGTAACTGCATATAATTTTACCAATAAGTTAGAGCAGCAAAAATACATAAGTATCATTAATTGATAGAAGACTAAATCACAAAAAACTGATAAAAGACTATAATATAATAGTTTAATATTAATTGATTATAATTTATAAATATCGATCTCTGATGGTAGTAATATTTATAGATGTTGATGTTAAATATCACACAGCCAAATAAAGTCACGTAGTTTGCAAGGTGCCGCTTTCTTCTTCGACTTTATGCCTGATTTCAGATTTAGGATGATTGAGAGATCTGTACACAAAGAGTCGTAAGAGGGCGGGGATGAGTTTCCCCATGGTACCTCCGACGATCAAGTCAGTTGATGAACTTGAGCTTGAGTGGACTAACAGAACTATGTGTTCTTATTTTTGTGTAGTGTGTGCTCTTGGGGGGTTTTGATTACGAACCTTTTAGATCACCAACCCTTTAGATCACCAACCTCTTGGCTATGGCGAATAACATATGCATATATAGAGGATATCAAGGGCAGATTGGTCACTTTGGCCATGCAATTGGCGGTGACAAAGTGTGAGCCGGAAGGTGAGTCATCTTTTCCTCTACACGTGTTGGCTGGCGACAGGAGGAAGATCACTTTGACCTCGATTTGAGGAGCGATCGATGGGACATAAGCTAATAAGCAGCGTGATGACGCATGATCTATGAGTAGACGTGATGTGGCTTGTTGTCAGGATGGATAAGCTTTGGCGAAATTATCTTTTAGCTTCGCTGAGAAGCAATGTCCCTCATGATGCGAGTTGACTTGTTGAGAGGAGTGACGACTTGCTGAGAGGAGTGACAACTCGCTGAGTCTACTAGGCTCTTAGCGAGTTGCCTGCTGTAAGAAGGCCGACTGGTACCGCATTTCGAGTCGATATTGATGAATGTCGACTCGTCTGGTCGGCTGAGTCGGACTGCTAGCTTATCTCTGGCTATCTCTCCCGTCGGTCGAGATATTGACTCATCAGATCATATATCTAGAAACAATTGTACCCCATAACAGTTGGCCCCTTTCGCTTGGAGTCGGTTTTAGCCGAGTCCAAGTGAAATGAATAAAGCTTTGGACTGAAGTTAGGGATATTGATTGCTTTGTAGCATTGCTCTAATTGAGCGAACCAAGTGACAATTCTTGAGTTGGCCGTGTTGTGTCGACCCGAATGTTACGAGTCGGCTTGACAACTAGCTCATATTGCGCCTACTGCGGGCAAGATGCTCGGGTCTTGGTCGACGAAGACTAGCAAATTGAAGTGCTTTGAGTCTTTTTGCCGAAGATGACCGGACAATTGTAGTATTTTATATTCACACCAATTGTAATCAAGTATGGATAAGAGTTGGATGACACTGATTAGGGATAGCTTAAGTCTGTGGTATCAGGCTGGAGTTGATGCTTTTAGTGAATTTGCAAAAGTAAATGTAGGCGGGCTTAGCACGATTCGGTATCCGTGCAACAAATGTATGAATCTTGATTGGCATAAATTTGGTATTGTACAAGATCATTTGGTTCGATATGGGATTATGGTATCCTATAAGATTTGGTTTCTCCATGGAGAATTGCCTGATAATCAACAT